ATTTTAGTTAAAAACAATTTTAACAAAAACAAACCTGATTCTAAAAAACTTGAATGTTTACCTAAATTCAAAAATTCGTATGCTCGTTTTATTAAAATATTATATGTTTGCTGTTGAAGAAAAAATCCAGAATACACAACGTTGTTGTTTTAATTTAAATGTAAATGTTTGTTTGGTGATGTTCTCCTCCTAATACAGCATGGAAAGAAAATCCTCCAAATATTAATGATTAACCTGTTGAATTGGAGATTGTTCACCTCCCAATGACATCATAAATATCCACTTCAATTACCTTTGGTAAATGAAATAACCAAACAATCATTCATTCTCTGATATAGCTGTAAAACTAATCTGAAAAGTTTTCAAAATAAATTACTTTAAAAATGTCTAGTCTCTACCTTCTAAAAATGAAACCTACATCTATCTCTGAGTTGTGAAGAATATGTATTAAGGTCATAACAACCACCAAGAATGCACTTTTATGTAGAAATTAATGATTAAATCAAGTCTTCCTGACTAGTGATTTAAATCAATTTGACTTAAATCAAATCCACCCTGCACAGGACTAATTATATTAGCTGGCGGAATAAGGAAGCTGTTATCCAGGAAGGAGGGGTGTTTGGTTTGATGGTGTCATGTACTGCTTGCAACTAGCTGTCAGAGAAGCCCAGACTCGTCCACCCACCCTGAGACTTTCCTCCTGACCTCCCAGAAAGTGAAGGGCTCCCTCACTATGTGATGCCCCCAGAGGGTGAAATGGGGATGCGGGGCAGCGTGCCATTCCCAGAGAGTGTGGTTGGGAAGGAGATCCTTTCCGCACTCTCCTCCCTCCCTTGCAGCTCCAAGGCATTCTCAGTGTAGCATGTGCTGCTGCTGCTTTGACAACGGTCTGGGCCCAGCTCTTCAGAATGTTTGTGTTCATTATTATTTTAGCTTGCTACCAAAATTTTCCTGAAGAACACAAGAGAATGGAAATGATAGGGTTTAATACTTTATAGCTCAGCTAAATCTGAATGAAACTGAATGGGACAAATACAGGTACTTCTGCATCTAAAAGCTTTACTGCTGGTGAAATTCAAAGAGCTGCTGCAAATAACTGTGACGTCAGACATGTAAAAAGAAAATCCCTAAGAACAGAACACTACAGGCAACTAAATATAGGAGATCACTACCAGATCTCCAAACAGCAGCAGCATTTTCATTTCCTACTAGTTTTCAGAATGTTCCGTGTCCCACAATACGGAGAATACAAAGACCAGTGTTCCCAGACTGCCATGCACATGCCCATCCATTTTCAAATAAACACTACCTTTTATGTTGGCTACAGGGTAAATGTTACTCACAGGCATGTGATATGATATAGCGGAAAAACAACAACAAACTTTAGCTAAGGCTATAGTCTCTACCAGGAAAATGGCAGAAATAGAAATACCTTGGAAAATGAAGAAAAGGAGTGTGTATACATATGTATTATGCATACAAAAATTCAAGGAAGAATTTTAAAATTATACAAAGTGAAAAAATGTTTTTAAAGGGTTTATATTCCCTGAAACACCTCCAGTCCTTCCCAACTGCTGCTATAAAAGCCAGTTTCAGATTCTTGTAAATGAAAACTAACTTCAACTGCTGATAGACTTAACAATCTACACCCGTTCTCAAAATTATGTTCATATCCTGAATCTTGTAGAAGCTCAGTACATTTTTTTTGCATATTGCACAATGTGTCCATACACACAGAAAGAACGCAGTACACAGCACTGTGTAATAAAAGGGCTAGCAATTCCACAGCTACTGACACAGTTCAGGAATTAATGCAACAGTGCATGATGCATTAACCTTTTCTGAAAAATAAAACATCTTCCGAAAGGGCATGTATTGGTTTAATATTTCCTTCAGGTGCAAGCAGAATATTTGACCCTCACCTACATTCACTTCATTTAATTTAAGAGCAACCTTTGTTTATTAGTTCCCCTTTAGAAAAATTTAATAGCTCAACAAATCTACTGATTCTGCCACTCATCTTGAAAGACTCTTCTACACCCAATTCCAGTAAAGAAGCCTTCTGATACATTTGTAGTGCAGCCACCCCTGTTTTACAGTTCTTAACACAACTGTTGCATTCAGCTTAACACTGAAGGAACATAAATTACCATTTCCTATTTTTGTTGATAGATTTTCTGAGCTTTCTCACTCTACTTTTGTTCATTCTTTTGATAAAGAAGTTAGATAGCTGCTCCCTTCACAAAACAACCACCTGATTTTCATGTTTCTCCCCTCCACCAAAGAGTCTCAACAGGCCAGAATGGGTGAATGGTTGTGGATCACCCTTCCCCACCCCCACGCCAAAGATAAAACAGAAATGTCTATATTATGTCAAGCAGGCAACCTTAGCTTCCTGGAAAAAGATGTGTACAGCATATTGTAAATGTTCAAGTCTGCTGTTAATGTTCATTCAATGTCAGTTAACTACATGAGGGAAGCACATGGCCACAATTCTAGTGGCACATGGTATCACATAACTAATAAACTGATGCAACATTCCCTATGTTATCAGTTTCTGCTCTGCACAACATGGAAACACAAATGTTACACATCAGGATACTGTAGGTTTCAGAGTAGCAGCCGTGTTAGTCTGTATTCGCAAAAAGAAAAGTATTTGTGACACCTTAGAGACTAACAAATTTATTTGAGCATAAGCTTTTGTGAGCTACAAATGATGCATCCGATGAAGTGAACTGTAGCTCACAAAAGCTTATGCTCAAATAAATTTGTTAGTCTCTAAGGTGCCACAAGAACTCCTTTTCTTTTTTCAGAATACTGTAGTACATTTAAACCTAGAGAAGAATTCAAAAGGGAATTCCCATAAACCTGAGAAGTTACGGAGAGCACTTGAATAAGTTCACAACATATTGATGAAATATAAATCTCTTACATTTTTAAAAAGGTAATAATTTTTATAAAGTATGTGTTTAGAAAGGTCTAAAGGGTAAGACGTACTGAAATTATTACTGGTATTTTGTATTTTTGCAATTGAATATTTTTGGTAGCTGCTGCTGTTCATGTGAAATTGCTTTGGGGTTCTGGGAGAGTTGAGGGCCTTTTTGTAACTGCTATTGTTTCTTCACAAAGTTCAGTTTTTAAACACAAAAATTGTTGTACCCTTTTGGATTCTTTACCCTATCAATATCTACACTTATTACTGACATACTCCATCCAAGTCATGAGACAGTTTACAGAAAATGGCATGACAAATTACTTTTTTAAATTTCTAAAGAAAATCGTAGAGTGAATATTAGAATATAAAGGCCAAAATATAAAACCTGGTGGAAGAATCCATACATTTTATATTCTCAACACAGTTTGACGTACGTGAGGTACCTAAGTGGCATCTGAGAAATACAAGTAATTCAGGAAAGCAGTAATTATTTAAGTTATTCAGTGCAAGTCATTGATTCCTTAACCTCAAAAAAACCTAAATATATAGATGATTTACTTGAGGTAAAAAATAGCCCTCTAAAACTAATACTTACATCCCTTTCTTCAACTTCATCAGGCCATTTCTCAAAATACAATGCATTCTTCAAACAGGTAAAGCACTTAAATCATTAAGCCAATTTTAATTCATACCCAGAAGCTGTACATGTATAAGTTTCATTAAATGTGCAGCAAAACCTTTTAAAAGAAGCTAATCTGGTCTGTCATTAGATAAAACAAAGATGGATCAAGTCAGCTCAGAAAATGATCTCAATTTCTGATTCTAGAAGAAATCATAATAAATCAAGCTACTGAAGTTTTGAGTACAAGGCATGAAAGATTCTACAAGTTGAATGAATCCCAAGAAGAAACAGAAGCAGAGGTACGAGCCAATAAGCTCAATTCTCAGTGCCTGGGTTTCATACATACAAAACGAGTTCAAATATCAACATCATACACAGATATTAAATACAATAATCAAGAGAATTTTCCATGTATTCATTGGTAATACAACACTTCCTAATAACTGAACTTTAGCTAATCTATCTACTTTATTGAAAACTAAACAGAAAACTTGCATGAATATATATGATCCTTATGCTACTAATCAAAAGTAAAAAAATGAAAGAAAAAAAATCAAAAGGAATTAGCCAACCCATTATGTGATGGAACAATTTATGAAAGATGGTTATAAAATGTGCCCTTTTAAAAACAAAAAGTGAAAAAGTAGAGAGAAATGATCAAACACCACCAATTCTAGGGTTCTTAAATAGAGGTGAAATTCTAGCTCCACCAAAGTCAATGGCAAAATCCCCATTGACTTCAATGAGGCAAGAATTTCCCCGAAAGTGCTTAACAACCATTATGGGAAATTTATGGAAATCTGATTGCAATACTTGTTCTTACAGAAAAATCAATAGAACATAGAACAACCTAGAATAAAATCAATTTCTAGTGTTAGAGTTAACAAGTGGCAAACAATTTAAAAAATATTCTTAGCAAGACTGAATAATTGTTCATTATACAACCAATCAATTCATACCAACTGTCTTGTTCAAGGTATTTAGCTTCCTCTTTAGTGTCAATGGGAACATTAAGGTCCTGTGCTGGTTTTCTTCCCCCGAACTATTTTAAATTCAACAATTAAAAGTTTTAAACAGAAAAATGCATCCTACCTTTTGGTTACAAACATTTTCCCCAGCAGTCAGTAACTACCAATATAAATACAGCCAAGGGTATATAATATAAGAAAGTGATAAATATTGACATTTTCCCTGGAAATGTTCTAGCAACAGTAGCTCAAAGTTTTTGTTATACAGAAAAATTGGTTTAAATCGTAACTGGGAATGAACAGATACTATTTTGCTTTTGCAAATGACACTTTTGATTGCCCTTCTTTAACCCCTGAAGCAACAAATGTTATTATTCAAATGTTCTGAAACAGTCTAGAAAGAGATGTAATTGCAATAACAACAAAACAAACTGCTACCTGTAGGTATGGCTTATCATTTATAGTGGATACTTACCCTAACAGGGGGACTCCGTGCTTGTACTCTTTGCTGCTGTCCACCTTGTGAGCTCTGTGGGTCTTTTGAACCACAGCTAGCGACAGTGCTGCTCTGGGCTCTTAATGCATTTGTGCAACTAGTCCCACCACCAGTGCCAGGTTTCCAGGGCCTTTGCTTGATGCCATCCAGTAGTCTAACCAGTAGAATATTGCTGGGAAGTTCATCAACACTGCAATCAACTAAAGTCCTACATTCTGGGCAACGAAGCTCATTTCGAGAACTCACAATGCCCAGCAAACAACGTTTGCAAAATGTATGTTGGCAAGGCAAGACTTTTGCAGAAGCATCAAGACGTTCTAAGCAAACAGGACACTCCAACAGATCCAACAAAGCCGATTCATCCATTTTTATTTAATTTACCAAAAAATAAACTTTCGCAAAATTCATATCTATTCTGAGTACGTAAAGGGACTCATGTTACATCCATGCCTCTTCAGACTTTGCTCTGAAATTGTTTAGAAAACAAAGAAAAAGAACAAACCATTAATAATCTGCAAAAAACAATTAGCTTTTTAAAAATGAGTCCACATAAGTATTTCCTCTGACAAGATTCCTTCACTAAGCAACATCAAAAATTAAAAGATCTCCAGTCTAATTTAAGACAAATCACTACAGATACTCATTTTGTAGATAAATGTTTAATAACAATTTAAAACATATAGCTAAAGGTTTTCTGTAAATATGAACAATTTATGAAAGGCAATAACAACAGAGAATTATCACTGGTCATCCTAATGGCAATCTTATCTGCATTAGCGAGCTACTTTGCTCAAACATGCTGATCAAGAGTAACAATTAAGATTTTAAACTGCACTTCTGTCTGCTTTTAACTGCTAACTATCTTCAATATTCTTAAACCATTTTAGAGTTTAATAAGTTTGTCCTTGTAGGATAGATCAATAAATGACTGTGGAAAACACAATTAATAGACAAATTGATATTTCTTACAATTTGTTTCATATTAGACAGGCCTGTCCTTTCCATAATTAAAACAAACAAGAGAGAATAAAAATAAGACCCTGAATTTGCAAGCTGTTCTATAGGACTAAAGGGTCCACTATCACAGAGAGTCACTAGCAGGGTCAGATGTAAGTCCAGAATGAGCTAAAAAAAAATCTAATTTGTCAAGTTTTTGAGAAGAAAAAGACAAAGGTGTTTTTGTTTGTTTGTTTTAACACATCCGTTTTGAAAACAGACACACTAATTCACAAGCTTTTAAGTTTACTGAAGAAGTTGACAAAATGATAGATTGCAGCGCTGGTATTATATCTAAGTAGTACCACAAAACTATTACCAAAATCATTTTATAGTGTATTGAGTGCTGGAATACTGGTAGTAGAACATGAATGCAATGTAGCCAGTAACAGGAAGCTGCTGGGAAGTCACATCAAGGACACTCAACAAGAAAAGCACTTATTTCACTCATAATCCTTCACCACTACATACATATACACACTCTCTCTCTCTCTCCCTCCCTTCCCCTCCCCTCCCCGCAGACGTTTTGAGTGGCTAGCTGGCCACAGAAAGCTTCCAGTACCTGATGCTAAGAAACACAGCTGTTTGGTGTAACACTACTAGACACATAATATAGATTTTTATTATGTACATGGGGCTTCTCTAGAGTTCACTGTGAGGCTAGAGGGAGAAAGAGACACAAAACGGACACACACAATCTGTCTCAGAAACAGAGTTAAAAATTACTTTCAAAATTTATTTCAGGCCTGGAGAACATTCACTTTTCATAAGACATATGGGTGTAGGATATATTACATACATCTGCACATACAACATTAATAACTTATTCTCTGGATTTTGTTATTAAACTTATAGTTACTGAGATATTTACAGAGATAAAACATTTTATTACACATATATATGTGGCACGAGCACTATATATTTGGCACATATTTGTGCATGTGTACTTCCGTTCCATATATGGGGGAGGACACACAGTGGGGAGCAGAGGTGACATACCCTGTGCGGGTGGGGGGAGGGGGAGAGACACTCTTGGCAGGTGACATGCTTTCTGTGGAGGAAGGACACACTTGGGGGAACAATATATCGCTGCCTGCAGATGGGGGGTACACCGTCTCCTGTCTCTGAGGGCGTGGGGCTGTGGCGATGTATCACAGTTGCGGGGGGAGGTGATACCTTCTTTCAGGAGGAGTGATATTGTATCCATGTATGGGGGGGTGCATGAGTGGCACCATATCACTGTCTGGGGTATATGGGTGTGACAGGGCTGGTGGGGGACATAGTGTCCCTATGGGAGGGAAATGTCACCATCTCTGGGGGAGGCACCGTATCCCTGTCTAGGAAGGAGGTGACACGGTCCTAGTGGGATGAAACTGTACTCACACCTGGAAAGGGGGGGGGGGGGTCACACGGTCCCTAAGAGACAGTACTCCACCAGGGTCTGGGGACGGGGGCGGTGTGACACGGACTCGGGGGGGACGCACCGCACCCTGTCTGGGGAGGGGGTGACACGGACTCGGGGGGGGGGTGACGGTCCCTGGGGCCGCTGTCACAGAGGGAGAGGCTGTCACACCACCTGGGGGCTCCGCAGGGCCTTCTCCGCCCCCTCTTGGGAGCCCTGCAGGGAGCTGGGCTCGGCTGCGCCGCCGCCAGCCGGGCCCCTCCGATCCGGACCCTCTTGCCGCGGCGAGCGGGACAGAGGCGCCGTCACTCACCATTTCGCTGCCGCGCTCCCCTCTTTGTTCCCGGAGGAGCCGCCGCCGCGCTCTCCCCGCTTGTCTCTCTCCCGACGCGGCACCAAGGAGCCTCCTCCTCACCCCCTCGCCGAGCGGGGCTGACGCGGGGGGGCGGCACCGCAACGCCCCGCAGAGAAAGCGGGGCTCGGGCTGGAGGGGGCGGCCCTGGAGGTGGAGCCCGCCCCGCCCGGCGAGCTGGCGGAGCCGACTCCGCCAGGCACCCCGGGGGAGGAGGGGTAAGAGCAACGAGAAGGGGAACGAGGCACCAGACCCCGGCCCCAAAGCCCCCTGCCCTTCACACCGGCGCAGCCCCGCTCCCGCCAAGCCAGGTGCCGCCTGGGGAAACCAACCGCCGCCTACAGCCAGCGTAGAGCCTGGGCAGCGAGCGCCCCCGGCCCTGCGCCCCGCAGGTAAAACTCCCGCCTCGCCCCGCCGCACAGCTCGGGCGGCCTCCCACCCCGGGAGCGAGCCTTGGGACGAGGGGAAGGTGGGAGAGGCTCGGTGCTACAACCGCGCTCCGTGCCGGAAGGGAGGCACTTTCCGCTCCAGTGACCAAGCGGGCGGCAGACACGGCCTCGGGGAATGAGCAATGAAAAGCCTTTTCCCGCTAACGTAGTGAAGAAAGCTGCCTAATCTTAGTAAAGGGGAGCAAAACAGAGACAATATTGGGGTGGGTACTAACTTGCCACTCAGGCAGAAAAGGACAATAGCAAAGGGACTCACGGTCCAAAACCCCAACCCGTGAAAGAAGCCAGGCAGCATGTAGCAGCAGCCTGTTCGTGCGAGATGTTGGACACACTACCTAACCTAGGAGCACTGTGAAAGCTGGCCTGGGCAATCCCTTAAGGACCCTGCTGTCTTCAGACTTTTACCTGTGATGAAGTTATTACAGGTAGAACTGGTGTGATAGTTGGGACTCAGACTGAACCGCTGATAGGAATGGGAGGATTGGGGTGATACCTGAGAAACTAGGATGAGGTTACAGAGTAGCAGCTGTGTTAGTCTGTATCCACAAAAAAGCCAGGAGTCCTTGTAGCACCTTAGAGACTAACAAATTTATTGGAGCATAAGCTTTCGTGGGCTACAGCTCACTTCAGCAGATGGGAGGCGTTCGAGCCCGAGGGAAGGTTTATGGCACCAGCCTCTGAAACAAGATACTGTCTCCTCTTTACCGCTCTGCATCAATCTGGATAATAAAGACAAGTGTATTACAAAGAGTTAAACCGCTATGTGTGTGTGTGTGTGTGTGTGTGTGTGTGTCTGGAAGAAAAAAGAAAAGGGAAGTTTTTAAATTAAATAATCTGAGAAACCCTCTCCATTTTGTATATTTTCTCCAACACACAACTCAGAATCAGGATGCTCAGTGGTTCTCTCACAGGAAGCTTGCCTGTAAAATATTTCTAAACAATTAACTATAACCAAAATAAAAAAGGAAAAAAAGTTTGAGGCTGGTGTAAAATCAGATACCACGTGAAAACAGAAAAGCACTGATATTTTTTAAACCAAAATGAGAACATGAAGATTGTGATATAAAGGAGGACATTCCTAGTTTTAAATTACTTTGATTGCTGTGGTGCAATAAGGAACCCACTTGCCAAAGAGGGACTCGTGTCTAGGTTTGGGAGATATATCTTTACATTTTTGTTAGTTTTTATTGGCTTCTGGTGCAACCTTAGCATTATTTAAATGTATTTTTGCAAGTCAGTTTCATAGGGTCCCCCCCACAAAAATCACATCCCACCATTCCTAGGACTTTTTAAATTGCCTTTTACACAATAAAATATTTAGTTATCCAATACTCAAATGACAGGAAACAATGATTACTGTATTATTTTTGAATACACACAATAATACTGAATAGCACACATTTAATTGTTATTATAAATGCTAAACACCATGTACACTATTAATTAGAAAACACCTATTCCATGTTATTGTGCTAACCTAGATCAAACAGTGGGGCCTGATCCATACCTGGGGCTCCTAGGCACAACTGTAATAAAAATAAAAAATAATAATATAGAAGAATAGAACAAACACCACATTTAGGAATATTCTATCTCACCATTGTTTCTCCTCCTGTCCCACCACCATAACAAAAAAGGAAGATCATCAGCAGATTAAAATATTGACTCCTATTATATCTGCTATAATGAAATCCACCCCACAATCAGACTTCTTTATCAACCATAACTTTCTCAAAAGATCCTCTTCAAGGTACAGTGTTGAATAGTACCATCTTACTGAACTTTCTTAGCATTTAATAGTTTGTAGGCAACATAGCTGCAGCTTTGTTAACAGTTTGTTATTGCAGTAAGGACATTGATGTTCAGGAAGATATGCTAGTGAAGTGAGGTGGAAGTTCAGAGAAGCAGGAAGGAGGATCTCGTATTTATGTTTTTGTATGAGGAATGTTGTTCCAATCACATTCTAAGTAAAGTATCTAAAATATTAACACATCTTGATATATTAGCAAAAATTATAAAGAGCCTCACACAGAAGAGCTGCCATACATAAAGACAATACAATAATTCATGAGCAGGAGTTATGCAAGAGATAATTTTCAAACAAATGTACGGAATAAACTGTCTAGTGTATGTACCACTGCCCTCTGTTGGACAAACTGCACAATTCAGACCTGCTTGTGTCAACAGAAGCACTCCAGGTTGATAACCAAGTATAGATGAAAGTGGCATTTGGCTCATTGTATTTATGCATTATACAGTCTGTATAATTCCCACCACCTGTCCCAAGCAGTCAACCACTCTCCTTTCTTTCTGTCCTTTCTTCTCTGATAGATGAACAGGCTGCTTATTGTGTAACAACTCTGTTTTGGGAGCACTTGGGCATGTGAATGTGAGAAGTATTACAGAGATTGTAAGGGGACATTGTAAGTTATTAGTATTATTGCCTGTGTGAGTAGTAGCAGATTTTGGAGTACGGCAGGTCAATTTTACATTTGGAACAGAAATCAGTGACGAAGCATCAAGTATGTTAGTGTAATTTGTGTATTGACAAAATGTACGCAAGTCTTGTTTCCTCAAACAGAGGTGAGAATAAACTATACCCAGACATCTCCCCTTCACAGAAACCTCACATAAGGCACCACTACCCTGTTCTATGGAGAGCAGCCTCTGTCTCTCTCCAGAATTCTCAAACAAATCAAAACAAATCCAACTGCTTAAACACATTCTTTGTCCCTTTTCTTCGCTCAGCGGAGACAAGAGATTCTTATCAGCAAGTTAAAGAAATATGGGCTGGATGAATGCACTATAAGGTGGGTAGAAAGTTGGCTAGATTGTTGGGCTCAACGGGTAGTGATCAATGGCTCCATGTCCAGTTGGCAGCCCTTGTCAAGTGGAGTGCCCCAGGGGTTGGTCCTGGGGCCGGTTTTGTTCAATATCTTCATTAATGATCTGGAGGATGGTGTGGATTGCACTCTCAGCAAAATTTCGGATGATACTAAACTGGGAGGAGTGGTAGATACGCTGGAGGGCAGGGATAGGATACAGAGGGACCTAGACAAATTGGAGGATTGGGCCAAAAGAAATCTGATGAGGTTCAATAAGGATAAGTGCAGGGTCCTGCACTTAGGACGGAAGAACCCAATGCACAGCTACAGACTAGGGACCGAATGGCTAGGCAGCAGTTCTGTGGAAAAGGACCTGGGGTGACAGTGGACGAGAAGCTGGATATGAGTCAGCAGTGTGCCCTTGTTGCCAAGAAGGCCAATGGCATTTTGGGATGTATAAGTAGGGGCATAGCGAGCAGATCGAGGGACGTGATCGTCCCCCTCTATTTGACATTGGTGAGGCCTCATCTGGAGTACTGTGTCCAGTTTTGGGCCCCACACTACAGGAAGGATGTGGATAAGTTGGAAAGAGTCCAGCGAAGTGCAACAAAAATGATTAGGGGTCTGGAACACATGACTTATGAGGAGAGGCTGAGGGAACTGGGATTGTTTAGTCTGCAGAAGAGAAGAATGAGGGGGGATTTGATAGCTGCTTTCAACTACCTGAGAGGTGGTTCCAGAGAGGATGGTTCTAGACTATTCTCAGTGGTAGAAGAGGACAGGACAAGGAGTAATGGTCTCAAGTTGCAGTGGGGGAGGTTTAGGTTGGATATTAGGAAAAACTTTTTCACTAAGAGGGTGGTGAAACACTGGAATGCGTTACCTAGGGAGGTGGTAGAATCTCCTTCCTTAGAAGTTTTTAAGGTCAGGCTTGACAAAGCCCTGGCTGGGATGATTTAATTGGGGATTGGTCCTGCTTTGAGCAGGGGGTTGGACTAGATGACCTCCTGAGGTCCCTTTCCTACCCTGATATTCTATTATTCTATTCTTTCCCTCTGCTTCTAAGCTGTGGATATAGTTCCCACTGAGTACTGTTGTAATAATTGGGCCTACAAATTTACTGTAATTGTGAACTCAACAGTAAAAAGTAAGTGAAAGTTCCTAAGACCTATAACAACAAATATTGATGGTAAAGGGTATGAAAGGGAGACCGACTTAATTAGTCCAAACAAAAAGGCCTACTGATATAACTCAAGGACTGATAATGCCATGCATGGTAAACAAGAAAAGGGGAACCAGACATCAGTGAACCAAATTTCATGTATCAGAAATTATGCCTAATTGGTGGACAAAATAATGAAGGGATGGGCTATTCTGCCCACCATTCCCATTGTGAGTATTTAAAGGAAGACTTTGCGGGGGGGAAAATTGGGTACTGGAGCGAGTTTCACCATCGTGGCTCCTACCCCATCATCTCCTGGGATCTTGTCATCCTTATCCTAAAAGATGTCCTGACCAGACAGGGCCAAAGAGAGTGACCCATATGACATCACCACCTATACCAGCTCCAGCTGAATCCCAGCTACCACCTGGCACGAAACAGGATTGGACTTTAACACCACCACCTCCAGCCCATCTAAGCTAGTTTCTTCTCTTTTCCCCAAAAGGACAGGTTTTGCCATCTTTCATACCATTTAAGAGACTGTCAAACAAAGGGGCGGGAAAGTTCCTTGTAAAAAGCTCTCTCCAGCTAAAAGGAAATGGAACAAGGGATGTTGTTAAAATGAAAGCCTTAGTTTACACTTTATATTGCAAATATTAAGTTTTTCCCTCCTTTCTTTATCTTTACTAAAAGGTTAAAAAGATGTTTAACGGTGTTTGCCAGAATACTGAGCAGGTTGAGGTCTCTATTCCAAACCCCACACCTTATTTAACACTATTTAATCTTGGATAGTGACTGGGTTATATTAACACATTTGACCCATATATTCCATTAAGTCAATACATCAATGGAAAGGAAGCAAATTTTACTCCAAGTACACTTTCTGGTTGCCAAAAAGAAGGGTAGGTGGAGGCCAATTCCTTGATCTCAGAATGCTGATTACCTTCATCATGGTGCAGAAATTCAAGATGGCAACATTCACAGATACTATTCTATTCCTGAATCTGGGACACTATTCTGAGACCTGTGACCTTCAAGAAGCATACTTACATGTCATGCTACATCTCTCACAAGAGATTCCTATGCTTTGTCATTGGTCAGGTGTCGGACCACTATCAGTATTAAATCCTCCTTTTTGACTCTCTACCACCCCTACAATGTTTACAAAAGTTATCATGGTAGTTGTTATACAGCTTTACTAATGGGGAGTGCTCATTTTCTCCTATCTCAACAATTGGCATTCCTATGTCAAAGTTCCAACAGCAGTAAAGAATGCTATGTCTCTCTTTCACATGCTCAGCCTTCAGCTCAATACTGCAAAGTCCTCCCTCTTACCTCTGCAATGGATAGAGTTTATAGGGGCCACTCTCTATGCCATGACATCCAGAGAAGACAGATTTCATCCTGTCTATGAGAGGACAAATTTTCTCATTCGAACACAGTTAATCGCACAAGTTCATGTGAGCCCACAGGTCACTGCCAGATGGTGCCTGCACCTGCTTGTGCACGACAGCATTTACCTTCACATTACATGCCCACTTTTACCCACACTGCTTCCAAGCCTGGCTCAGAACAGTTTATACTCCCAGCAAAGACAGCCTGAAAAAGTTACTCTCTGCTCCCAGCCTCATGTTAGTCTCTCTTGACTGGTGGAAGAATCTGGACAAGGTGTGCTCAGGAATTCCCTTCAGCTATCCCATTTCAGACTCATCTCTCCTAGGATGGGGAGCATATTAACAGTACAGTGCTATCCAGGAGACATGGTCCACCAGGAGATACGCTTGCCACCATATCCGATCTTGTGAGGGAAAGTCAACCCACTTGCATAATGAGAGACAACAGGGCCAGTATGTACTGCATAAACTGACAAGGCTAAGCGAGAGCCCCTTCCTCTGCCCAAATGCAATCAGGTTATAGAATTGGTGCATAGCCCATTGAATCCTTATCATTTGCCTGGGCTCTAAAATACTATAACTGATGACCTCAGCAGTCACTTCACTCAAGATCACAAGTGGATATTTGACAGATCCATTCTCCGGCAAATATTGCTTACCTGGTCTTTTCCAAACGTACACCTCACCAGCACTATAATCCAGAAATGTCCAAAATTCTTGTCAAGAGGATGTGTCTTGGTCACTGTTCCGGGGGGAGGGGGGGAGGGTTGACTTTATCCTATCTTGATTAAGAAGTCTCCTAGATCCCTCCAACGCTGCTAATCCTCATGGTTCTAAACAAAATTAGACAGGACAAAGCCTTGGTAATCTTAATCACACCAATATGGCTAAAACAAGTGTAGTTGGCTTACCTATTTTACCTTTTTTCCCAGCCAGCCATCAATCTCCTGCTGATTCCCAGTTTCTTCACTCAGGATTCAGGGAATGTTTGTGACCCCACCCAACCTGAACACACTATGACCAAGAGCTTGGATGGCTCTCAGGGTTATGACTCTCCTGTTCCAGAGAATTCAAGAAGTCCTGTTGAACAGGAAGAGAATCCACCAGGAAAACTTACCTTCAGAAATGGAAAAGATTTTACCACTGGTGTAGTCACCGTTCCTATTTCCTTTCAACTCTCCTACCTTGAACGTTCTAGAACAGCGGTTATCAACCTTTCCAGACTACTGTACCCCTTTGAGGAGTCTGATTTGTCTTGTGTACCAACTTTCACCTCACTTAAAAACTACTTGCTTTCAAAATCAGATGAAAATACAAAAGTGTCATGGCACACTATTACTGAAAAATTGCTTACTTTCTCATTTTACCATATAATTATAAAATAAATCAATTGGAATATAAATATTGTATTTACATTTCAGTGAATAGTATATAAAGCAGCATAAACAGGTCACTGCCTGTATGAAATTTTAGTTTGTACAGACTTCGCTAGTACTTTTTCTGTAGTCTGTTATAAAACTGTTCAGATGGCAACACTTGTGTGACTTGTCCTGCCGGGCTGAGGACTGGAGCCCTGTCTCTCAGTAGGAAGGGTATGACCAGGGCGCCGCAAAGCCTGCTGACCCCACAGTATGTCCCAGCCCTGCCCTGGAGGGAGACCACCTCTGGGGGGGAGAGGGGTCTAGATGAATTGATGTACCCCCTGGAAGACCTCTGCATACCCCTAGGGGTATGTGTACCCCTGGTTGAGAACCACTGTTCTAGAATATCTTTTCACTCTTAAGCAAGGAGTCTCTCTTTGATCTCCACTGAAGTTCACCCAGTAGCCTTCACAGCATTTCATTCTCCTGTAGAAAGTTTCTTGCTATTTGCTCACCCTACAACTTCTAGATTCATCAAATGGTCATTGAATCTCTTCCTGAATGTCAGAGAACCCACCGCAACTTGGGACTTGAACTTAGTTCTTAATTTCCGATGCACCCTCCCTTTGAGCACTAGCTACTTGTACCCTTTTAAACCTTTTAATGAAAACTCCCTTTTTAGTGGCAATTACCTCTGCTTAAAGAGTTGAGGGATGACCCCCCTTTCCATAGTCTTCAAGGATAAGGGATCCCTTGAATCACACCTTTGGTTCTTACGTAGAGTTGTCTTGGACTTTCATATTAATCGGACAATTTCATCTGATAGTTTTCCACCCTAAACTTCATCAAACTAGGGTGGATGCTGCCTTTCACAACCTAAATGTTACTAGAGTGCTAAAATATTATTGGGACAGAACTAAATTTAAAAAAAAAAAAAAAAAAGAACAGGAATACTTGTGGCACCTTAGAGACTAACAAATTTATTTGAGCATAAGCTTTCGTGGCCTACAGCCCACTTCATCAGATGCATAGAATGGAACATATAATAAGAAGATATATATACACATACAGACAACATGAAAAGGTGGAAGTTGCCATACCAACTCTAAGAGGCTAATTAATTAATATGAGCTATTATCAGCAGGAAGAAAAAAACACTTTTGTAGCGATAATCAAGATGGCCCATTTCAGACAGTTGTCAAGGTGGTGTGAGGATACTTAACATGGGGAAATAGATTCAATTTGTGTAATGACCCAGCCGCTCCCAGTCTCTATTCAAGCCCAAGTTAATGGTATCTAGTTTGCAAATTAATTCCAGTTCAGCAGTTTCTCGTTGGAGTCTGTTTTTGAAGCTTTTCTGTTACAAAATTGCCACCTTTAAGTCTGTTACTGAGTGACCAGAGAGGTTGAAGTGTTCTCGTACTGGTTTTTGAGTGTTATGATTCCTGATGTCAGATTTTTGTCCATTTATTCTTTTCTCCAAGGCTATTTGTGTCCATCACAAGCAGGGTTAAAAGGATACCAATATCCACCCAGAGACTTTCTAAGTGGGTGTTTGGCTGCATCCTCTCCTGCTATGCAGCTGGTAAACTGCCATGCCCTTCTAGGGTCATAGCCCATACTACCAGAGCTCAGTTCACCTCTGTTGCCATTTTGAAATCTGCAAAACTGCCACATGGCCTTCTGTTCACGCCTTCTTGAGCACTAGGCCTTAGTGCACATCTCTGGAGTTGACGCGACCTTTAGTTCTGCAAACACTTCTAGATCCATCTCCTTCAGAGCAAACTGCTCAGGGGTCACCACACGCGGCGCACCCATAGGGACTCTACTCAAAGAAGAAGGGATTATTCACCTTGGCAGTAACTGGAGTTCTTTGAGATGTATCGCCCTATGGGAGCTCCACTACCCACCCTCCTTCGGAGTCTCATCTCCATCACACTGTGCCATAAAGAAGGAACTGCATCCATTGCAGCCCTATATACCCTCATTGCAAGGCATGAGGATAGCTAGAGCACATGCATGGGCCAAATGAGCTCTGCTACCGAAAACCTCTGATCAAAGGTGCATCTCAAAGAACTCCAGTTACTCCATGAGGTGAGTAAGCCCTCCTTCCTATTTATCATTGTTTACTTATGTGTTATGCAGTGAGCTATTTGGATGTATAGGGTGACACAGTATGCCCTGAAGACCTTGAAAATCTATGAAGACAGCGGGTAGCAGAATGGGATACAGAATACAAGTAAGTGGACAGGGTGGTGACTGTCATATTGGGCTAATTCTGCTTTAAAATATATACATCTCCCCAGCTGCCATTAATTCCTTTTTTGTTCTGTTAACTGCCACTATTTTTGTTAGTTTAAAAAGAATAGACTGTTCCCTTTACATTTTTAGTCATTTAAAAAAAATGTTCCCTGTTTAAGCTTAAGTCAGTCATTATTTCCTTAATAAAGAAGCTAGGAAATTCAGTTTCAAGATTTCAAAGGAACTCTTCAGTCAAGGAAAAAATGCACATAGCTCACATCATTATGCCTCCTGTGGAAGGAGTTTTATTTTATTATTATGTCTGTTGGGACATATTTGTATATTTAATTTACTGTTGGACCAGATTGAAGAATCTATTAAGATAGTTACTGTGATAATTAAATTAGATAAGGGTCCCCAGAGCATGGAAAGGGCATGTAAATTTCACAAATGTAAAATAAAAAATAAGAGAATCCCACAATACTAGATGCTGCTCCAAACCAGTAGGAAAATAGTTAGAAACTGTGGCAGGTGCTAGCAAATAAAACAAATATTGTGTTAATCGAAACACTCACTCAGTAATCAGCCATCCCAGCAATCACATGACAAAACAAGAGTAAACTTCCAGGCTATAATTTCCTTTTAGTACCTTAATTTCTTATTTTCACAAGAGATTTGAAGAGACAGACACCTGTTTTGACCATAGAGTTACACAGCATTGAACAAGGTAATTGTAGCCAGAACACCACGTCTTCTGGGACACTAAAAAAGGGACAGGCCATAACTTACTTTTGGTACTTTTATTTTTCATTTCCAAAAGGTTTTTGCTAGGCTATGAGGTGTTCTGAAAACATATTAGAAATCCTTTGATACAGATCCATTTGTGCTGCTGCAATGACTGTCCAGAAGGGGCTTAGCATGTTATGGGTGCTGTGGGAGTCTTAACTCAAACTTTCCATGACTTTTGTGTGTTCAAGACAGAAACAATGCTATTTTAATGTAGTTTTCTGTATTTATTTGGCAAATGCCCATGTCAATTTAATAATATTTAAAAGCACAAAATGTGCTTCCCATGGGATGTGTCAAGAGGTGATATTTTCCTGAGCAAGGAAGGGAGAGGGGTTGAAACTGTGGCCTCCCCACATGCTGCTTTTGTTTTTCTTCATGTGATTACTGCTGAGCCAGTCACTGTTTCCCTAGCTTGCATTAGAAAGGGAGAGAATGAGAACGTGAAAGTGACACAGTAAGGGATGGGAGTCAGAGATGGAGAGTTGGCCTCCCCGCTGTTCCATTTAATGTTCCTTTTTTTCCCCTGGTTGACTAATTCTATGCCCAATAAATAGTAAAGCTTGTGTCACAGAAAGTGTGTTCATTAGAAAAATCTATTCTCCAACTAAAAAACTAAGGATCAAACATTTTCCTAGTACACCTAAAATCCCACATTCTTCTTATTAAAAAAAATAATTTGCACTTCTGCAATGTTTTCTGTCCAAAGATCAGAAAGCACTTTACAAACATTGGTGTGCATAGCTTTCCAACAACACACTGAGCATTTCCCCCATTTTATAAATGGGGAGGAGAGGCAACCAGAGTTTAATAGCCTAATATTCAAAGGTTCTGCGCACCTGAACCTTCCATTGACATCAGTGGGATTTATTTAAAAAATAAATAAATCCGACAGTAGGTGTCAGGGCTGATTCCCCACTCTGGCACTTCAAGTGCAGAAAGTGGGGGCCCGCAAGGATTCTAAAAATTAATGCTGACCACTCCAGGCTTGTATTAAACTCCCAAGGTTACAGCTTCTCTTTGACGTTGGATGGATAGATGCTGCCATCACCCAGGTGCAAAAAAACCCTTTTGGAACCCAGGAAGGTGTACTTGGGAATTCCTTCCTGTGGTGTACCCTCAAGCCCTTTCACACCCCCTCTGGGGAAGAGCTGAGAAAGAAAACAGGAAATTAGCTTTTGCCACCGGCTAATTAAACAACATATGCACAAACCTCTTAGGACACAAAAATCCAATCCTATTCTTAAAAAGGGTAAATTTTATTAAAAAAAAGAAAATACATTTGGAATTTAGGCTTTTTGCTAGATTTAAAAAAAAACAATTACAAGGATTAAGCATCAAGATAGCTCTCTTGAGGTCCATCTTAAAGGTGACAAACAAAACAAATGCACCTGGGGTTAGCACAGAGAACTCCACAAGCCATAAAGAAATAAAAGATAAAGCTAATTGCATCTTCCTAGACATTTCCTGATCTACTTACATAAATGGGGTTTCAAATGAGTAGTTTCTAGGTATGATCTGGTGATTTTCATACCTGGCCCACAGCTTTTTACAGCATACCTCCAGCCCTGTCTCTGCTCTGTCCTCTCTCCAGAGAACAGACAGACAGACAAAAGGAAAGTTTTTCCCCAATTTTAAAAGTTCTAGCCTTCCCATTGGCTCTTTTGATCAGGTGCCCACTCCCTTCCTTTTACCTATGAACTTTTTAGCCCTTTATAGGAAAAGCAAGTAGAGAACAGCTATTAACAGTAGCTGGCTGGGTGTCCATAAAAGGGAGCTACTTCCCTCCCTACATTTATCACACGCCCCCCAAATCACAGACGGTGCTGGCCAGCCTAGTTCAGGTCAGGTCCACACCAGCTGGGATTTCTTCCTGGAGGTTTAGGAAACAGAGTTAATAATATACATGCACCTTTAATTTTACTACTAATTACAAGAAGAACTAAACAGTATTTTTCACATTTTAAGGACTACAATGACTTAGAATATAGGGACATTTTACCCAGCTGATTCTGGGAAACCTTCCCGGGAGAGTGCATCAGCCCCTTTGTTAGAGGCTTCTGAAATGTGTTGTATTTCAAAATCAAAGTCTTGAAGAGCTAAACTCAACCGAAGAAGTTTTTTGTTAGTCTCTTTGACTGTGTGAAACCACTACAGTGCAGCATGGTCAGTCTGCAGGTGGAACTGCCATCCCCAAATGTACGGGCTTAGCTTCTCCAGAGCATACACAATGGCGTAACATTCTTTTTCTGAGACTGACCAGTGGCTTTCCCTCTCAGAAAGCTTTTTGCTGAGAAACATGACAGGATGGAATAGTTGATCTGATCCTTCCTGTATTAAAACTGCTCCTACACCACGCTTGGACGCATCTGTGGTTATGACGAAAGGTTGGTTGTAGTCCGGGGCCCTTAGTACAGGGTCAGATGTAAGGGCCGCCTTAAACTGGTTAAAGGCTTTCTGACACTTCTCAACCACTGAACTGCATTTGGTTGTTATAGGTAAAGCAAGTGGAGAACAGCTACTAACAGGGATTTTTTAGCTAACTGGATGGCTACGTGTCCATAAAGGGAGCTCCCCCGCCCCGTTTATCACAGTAGGTGATTTGGCAGCGACCACATAGGAAGTCTGTAGAAATGACATCTCCTTCATCCCAGTACTCTGTCTTAACCACATGCCCAGCCTTCTAAACTTTATCTGAAAATGCCAGAGTTGGTCAGAATATCTAAAACACTCTTAATTAAAATGAGTGACTGTAGAAAGACTTAATTTTTTTCATATTCCAGATAGCAATCAGTGTGAAATATCACCATTTGTAAAACACAGTAGTGATGATGACTGATGTAATTTTACTGGGATTTGTGTGTATTTAACTGCTTCTAAGCCAGAATACATTTGCCAACTGATGAAAGTTAGAATAAACTGCCACAGTGATTTTTTAAGAAAATACGTTAAGGCCCATTCTATGCTAGAGGAATTTACCACACTGATTGCTGTTTGACATATACCACAAAAACAGATGGTCACACTTTATTTGAATTATGCTTCCTTTGAGTAAAGCCATTGACTGTGTGGTTCTCCACTGTGCTAATTCTCCACCAGTGCACTGCCAATGTGGGTAAGTGTCAGTGTCAATGGTAGAAACAGTCCTTCCCCTACCCTTTCACAGGGCACTGGTTAGCTGCTTGACAGAGGTCAGATTTGCCAGAAGCCACTTATCTGTACAAATAGGACTGCACACATTGTAGATCTGTTGTGTGTCTTTTTGCCATCATCATCATAGTCTTCTCAAGCACCTTGAACATGAAGCCAGCTGGACAGAAATGTGCAGGCACTTGTGACCATCAGGAATGATGATGAAAACTAGCCACAGTAGAAACTAGCTTATTCAAAACACTTGTCCATGCCTGGGTGACAAGCAGGACATCACTAAGCTTGACAAAAGATTTAATTGGCAAAAAAAAACAAACAAAACCAACAACAAATCTTGTGATAGGCTAGGAATCAGACCACTGATGTGGAAACATTTTGTAAATTGAAGTATGTCGTTACTAACACCTCGTGGGTGTCTAAGTGTATGTGCTCTACTAATGTGCAGGCATTTGGAAGCCACTAATTACAAAGTTTCTTCCAAATGAGAAGGCAGAAAAGAATTTCTGTTCAGTGTAAATCCAAAAAACATATTTTATTGAAAAGCTCTAATTTCAAGACAATCTCTTTTCACCTGTTGATTTTATAGATTCTGAGGCCAGAAGGGACCATTGGGATCATCTGATCTGACTTCCTATATAACACAGGCCATAGCACTTCCCCAAAATAATTCCTAGAGCATAGCTTTTAGGGAAAAAAAATCCAGTCTTGATTAAAAACTGGTCAGTGATGGAGAATCCACTACACTCCTTAGTAAATTGTTCCAATGATTAATTACTTTCACTATTCAAAAGGTATGCCTTATTTCCAGTCTGAATTTGTCTAGCTTCAGTTTCCTCTCGAGCGAGCGTGGTCAGGTGGGCAAGACTGTAAAACAATGCAGACTAATGGTCAGCCATTTTGGATTCAGTAGAATATATGATTCTTGTTGCAAGCTAGGGTGACCAGGTGTCCAGTTTTCGACCAGAACACCTGGTCGAAAAGGGACCCTGGCGGCTCCGGTTGGCGGTGCTAAAGCAGGCTAGTCTATCTGTCCTGGGGCACTGTGCTGCGCCCCAGAAGCGACCAGCAGGTCCGGCTCCTAGGCAGGGGGGCCACAGGGCTCCGCTTGCTGCCCTGCCCCGAGCACTGGCTCCGCATGGGAGCTGCGGGGGGGCAGTGCCTGCAGGCGAGAGCAGCATGCATGGAGCCTCTTGCACCGCCCCCGCCTACTAGTGCCAGACCTGCTGTCTGCTACCAGTGTGCACACAGCGCCAACACAGACAGGCAGCCTGCCTTAGCCCTCCCGCTGCGCCACTGACTGGGAGCCGTCTGAGGTAAGCCCACCCCCCAACCCCTGCCCCAGTCCCACCCTCCAGCCTGGAGCCCTGCTCCTGTACCCCAAACCCCTCAACCCCAGCCCCACCCCAGAGCCCGCATCCCCAGGTGGAGCCCTCACCCCCTCCTGCACCCCAAGTCCAGTGAAAGTGAGTGAGGGTGGGGGAGAACGAGCCACCAAGGAAGGGGAATGTAATGGGTGGGGCTTTAGGAAGGGCGGGGCAGGCACCTCAGGGAAGGGGTGCAGGTGGGGTGTTCAGTTTTGTGCTATTAGAAAATTGGAACTCTATTGCAAACAGAGTCCCTTCCCCTCCTTTCTTTTTAAGAGTTGTTAATGGCTTCAGTAACATCAATTGAATGTTTACAAAACATAAAATGTTAGAAAGGAACTATGCTAATTGATCAAGCATGCTACAATAAAAGTAATACACCAAACAAACCACATGTCAGCTCTTACTGTCTTTGACATCTTTATCAGTAGTTGCTATGGCCCAAATATACGTACAAAACAGAGTTCATAGATATAACAAGACGACATGAGCTACTCTGATTTACCCAAATTGAGAATCTGGCTGTTTAGCAGAAGGCAAATTAATATGGATTCACATTAAAAAGAGGATACAGCTAGTTATTATGAGACTCTACAAATTTCTTCAACCTTCTCTGCTCTCCCATTTCAATCATTGCCTTTTCAATATCACTTGTTTCCAAGGCTGCTATTTATCAAAATATCAATTCCATATACTGTTAACACTTCCACTTAAATAAAACAGTACTAGCTATAACAAAAATCAAACTGCAATGTAACTTCTTGCTTACTGATGAGAGATGTGGGGAAGGAATACCCTCCCTAAACAAAGCCAGCATGAGATTTCACATTACATTAAGATGGAGATAGAGTTGAAGACCTTTTGTTTGAAATTTCAAACCAGGGATCAACTTCCATTATATACTCAAATGTGCCTCCTCTGTCCCTCCCACCCCCCAGAGAAAAGATTATGGCCTGGAATTTCTGCTGGATGCTGCAGAGACATAAGGGATCAGCTTACTGCACCCTTATTCTCAGAGCACATTTGCACCAGCTTGAGCCCCAGTGCAATTTAGAGCAGCATGGGAACCACTTTCATTTCCCCAAAATGGCTATAATCCCTAAGGGAGTATGTGTCATCTGAGCATAGGTGGAGCACATCATGTTCCAGCTGCACATCTGACACACTGCCTACTTTGGAGCTGAGTGGAGAATAGCTACACCTGCTCTGTGCCAGCGGATTGTTCCTCCACACTGGTGGAATCCTCCGCTGGGCAATCTGGTAATGCAAGAAGGCCAGAATACAACCAAGCACCTGGCCTGTGAGTTTTAAACTGTCAAGTTGACTAGGTATTTGATGTAGTTAATGAATTAATCTAAAGTAACTGTTCCTCATTTTTCTTTAAAAGACCTTGGGAATAAAGTCTATAAAAATTAACAAATTCAGCATCCACATTGTTGGTCTCAAGCACCTCTGGAAAAAATGGTTACCTACCTTTCATAACTGTTATTCTTTGAGATGTGTTGCTCATGTCCATTCCATTTTAGGTGTGCGTGTGCCTGCGAGCACAGTTGTCAGAGATTTTTGCTCTCCTGACGTCCAGAGTGCACAATCTACGCTCCTCTTCAGATTTGAGGCTTTGGGAAGAACACTGGCAAGAATATGTCCTGGCTCACTTGAAACAACCTTGGGCAGGAAAGCTGGGTGCAGCCGCAGGTGGACTTTGTCCTTCAAAAACACCGTATAGAGTGGCTCCGAGGTAAGGACCCTAATCTCAGAGACCTTAAGGGCAGACGTTATCGCCACCAGGAATGACACCTTCCAGGAGAGAAGAAGAGAACAGGAAGCCAGTGGCTTGAATAGGGCACCCATGAGCTATGCCAGCACTAGATTCAGGTCCCAAGGAAGGATGGGGTCCTGGACATGGGGATAGAGTCACTTGAGACCCTTCAAGAAGCAGACCGTCATGTCGTGAGTGAAGACTGAGCTGCCCTGAACTGGAGGGTGAAAGGCTGATATAGTGGCCAAGTGGGTCTTAATTGATGAAAGGGACAAGCCCTGGAGCTTAAGATGTAGCAGGTAGTCCAGGATCGACTGCAGCGAAGCCTGCTCAGGCCTAATACCCTGGTCCAAGGCCCAGCACGTGAAACGTTTCCATTTGGCCAAGTAGGCTGCCCTGGTAGAGGGCTTCCTGCTGCCTGACAGTACCTGATATTCATGGGCCAAGCACTTCTGCTCTTCCACATTTAACCCTGCGGCAGCCAAGCCGTCGGATGCAGCACTGCCACGTTCAGGTGCAGAAGACTGCTGTGGTTCTGGGACAACAAATCTGGCCAGAGAAGCAGCTGCCACAGGGCCACCACCAAGAGATCCAGCAATGTGCTGGCAAGGCCAAGCCGGGACTATTAGGATTACCTTTTCCCTGTCCTATTTGATCTTCATGAGGACTCTGTGGATTATCGGCACCAGCGGGAAGGCGTACATCAGAGCCCCCGACCATAGGAATAAGAAGGCATCTGACAGGCCTCTGTTGATCCCCCAAATCAAGCAAAACGCGTGAGATTTCCTGTTCTGACAAGTCGCAAACAAGGCCACCTGGGAAGTTCCCCACCTTTGGAAGATCACACTGACCACATCGGGATAGAGTGACCATTCATGGTGAGACGAGAAGGTCCTGCTGAGGTGATCTGCTAGTATGTTTCTGGTCACCGGGAGGTGCACGGCCACGAGATGAATGGCATGCTGCACACAGAAGTCCCAGAGTTAGAGAGCTTCCTGGCAAAAGGCTGTCAACCTGGCTCCACCCTGCTTGTTGATATAAAACATTGCGGTAGTGTTGTCCATCAGGACTTGTACCACTTTGCCCTTCAAGTGGGACCAGAAAGTGCGGCAGGCCAAACCAACTGCTCTGCGCTCCCTGACATTTATGTGGAGGGAGCGGTTGTCCCGCAACCAGCGACTTTGCATGCTGAGCTCAGCCAGGTGGACTCCTCTAGCCCAGGCCTGAGGCATCAGAAACCAGGGTCAACAACGGGGCCGTGGCCATGAAGGGAACCCCCTCCAACAGCGATTCGGGGTCCAACTACCATTCCAGTGACAACTGGATGTGTTCCGGCATCCTGACTACCAGGTCTAGATCACTCCTGTTGGGTGTGTAGACCTGATGTCAACTACGCTTGCAGCGGCCAGAGATGGAGCCAGGCACGATGGACCACATAAGTACAAGCTGCCATGTGGTCTAACAACCTCAGGCAGGAGCGGGCGGTGGTGAGTGGGTGGCCCCTTATATGGGAGATCTAGTCCAACATGGCTTGGAAATGGGCCTCCAGAAGGAAGGCTCTGGCCTGCGTGGAGTTGAGGACTGCCCCTATGAACTCTATCCCTTGCACCAGTTTCTTTTAGTTTACTAATAGGCCCAGGTCGTGACAGGTAGAACACACCAGATTGAGACTTCTCTGCACTTGATCCTGTGATCTGCCCTTGATGAGCCAATCGTCGAGATAAGGATAGACCTCGACCCCTCAACATCTCAGGTAAGTGGCTACCAGGTCCATGTATTTTGCGGCCAACAAGAGACCAAAGGGCAGCGCCATAAATTGGAAATGATGCTAGCCCACCATAAAAGGGAGAAACGTCTGTGTCCTTGGAAGATGGAATTATGAAAACAAGTGTCTTTCAAGCCGAGAGCAGTATACCAGTCTCCCAGATCCGGGGAGGGAATGATGGAGACCATGCGGAACTTCAGCTTTTTGAAATATTCGTTGAGTTGCCACAGGTCCAGAATGGGTCGTAGGCCCTCTTTTGCTTTTGGGATTAGAAAATAGCAGGAGAAGAGCCTTTCCCCCTTATTTCCCAAGGGTCCTCCTCTACTCCCACAACTGCAGGAGGTTGTCGACCTCCTGAATGAGAATGGTCCCTGAAGAGGAACAGGGAGGGGGGATGGGGTCGGGGTGGGGGGTAGCCATGAATTGTAGAGTGTAGCCCAGAAATACAATTTCTAGCACCCAGGTCTGAGGTGACCCGTGACCAGGCCAAATGGTAGGGACGAAGATGGTTGAGAAAAGAATGAGGCGCTTCTGGCCCCTGTGATGTTTTGCTGGGCCGAGTTGTGTATGTTAGTGGGAGGAGGAAGGCCATTGCCAACTAAAATTAATGTCCCTATCCCTTCTCCTTGCAGACCCCTGTTGAGGTTGCCAAGGCCTTGGGGATGAGAGTGGCCAGAACTGCTTCCTTGTCGACTGAGGTGTATGGAAACCCAGCAAGTGGAAGGTGGCCTGTGTGTCCTTTAGCCCATACAGCCTCACATCTGTCCAACCCCATCGAACAGGAGGTCCTAGATTTAGGACTGCATCTCCCAGGACAGGCCCCCAACCAAGAACTGCACCTCATGACCACCGCTGAAGCGACCACCCTGGCCACCGAATCAGCTACACCATTTGGAGGGACCCACTGTATTACCCTCCTCAATAAGGGTAATAAGGGCCCTGAATTCTTGGGCTGAGTCTTGGGGTAGGGAGTCCCATAAGTTAAAGTTATATGTCCCCAAAAGAGCCTGGTGGTTTGTGACCCTGAACTGAACACTGGCCGAGGAATAAATTTTCCTTCAAAAAAATCCTCTTGGCCTCTTTGTTTTTGGGGGTACACTGGATTGCCCATCTGTCTTTCTCGTGGGCTGCAGAAATGACCAACGACCCCAGGGGAGAGTGGTTGTATAAGTATTCGAACCCATTGGCTGGGACAAAATACTTCTTTTCAGCCTTCTTGGAGGTGGGAGAGATTGCAGATGGGGTTTGCCAGAGGGCTTTGGCAATCTTTAGGATCCCATCATACACTGGAAACATGATGCGTGCGGGGTTGATGCAGAAAGCACATTAAACAAGGTGTCCAATTGCTCCGCCGTCTTCTCCACCTCTAGGCCTACATTCGTGGCCACCTTTCAGAGGAGGGCTTGGTGCTCCTTAAAATAGTCTGGTGGGCTAGCGTGAGAGGGCCCCGCAACAGCCTCATCTAGAGAGGATTAGGACTTCTGGACCATTGGGGGAGAGCCCGGGGCTTCATACCCTATGGGGGATGAAGGTTTTGGGGTTGGCACTCACTCCTCCATCCGGCATCTGATTGCACTTCATGCACCAATCCCAGTGCTGTCTGTCGCTTTTCTGAAGCAGTTACCGACGATTGATACAAAGGAGTCATCGGCATAACTAGCACAGCCCAGGTCCTTCAGGATGGCCAATGCGCCAGCTACTGGCTCTGCTGCCAGGACTGCATCGCACAGGTGGACACAGCCTCAGATGCCCAGTCGTGCTGGTGCTGCCTCGGTGAGGGGCTGAACTCCCTCTCCATGCCGAAGGAATCCCCTTCCAGTGACCACGGTCGGACCATTGACACCTGAGTCTGGTGGCTAAGTGTCACCATGGGTGAACAGTGCCTTGAATAAGCGGATCAGTGCCGGGAGTGGGAGGGATCGGTACCGCGTTAGGGAACATTCCCATGGTCCAGTTGTCAGTGACCTACATCGGGGAGACGGTTGGCGGGAGGATGACCTAAACCAGCCATACAGTGACCAGCATGTCTCTCTCTGGGTGAACCTCCTCAAGAGGGTGGTTTCTGGGAGCACAGTGCCAGTGATCTAAAGTGGTGAACTGGCTTGATGTGGAGATCTAGGGCGTGGTGATTGAGTGCACTGCCTTGGCTCTGGGGTCCAGCAGTGTTCACTCTCCCTCTGGGAGGATACTATGGCTGGCTTGCCCTCACAGGAAGCCTTTGCCAGAGCCATTGCAACATGCAATGCCAGCTGCGCTAGGAGTGTCCTTTGCTCTCTAGGCACCGGGAAGGCCTGGGAAAGCAGCAGCTCCGCCAAGGGTCTGGGACCCCTACCATACCCTGGAGACAGTGGCAGATCCCTTGGGGGGGGCTATAAGCCTCCAAATGGGGGACACTCTGATGTGGTTCCAGGGTGGTCAGGCAGCCCAAACAGGGTTCTTTACCCCATGCCCCTTGGTTTTTCTTGCTCAGTGCCAGGTCATGCTTCTTCAATTTCTTCTCGGGCACCAGTGAAGGGGAGCTGTGCCGGGTAGAACCGGCTGCCGGGGGTGCACTACGCAGCGATGCCAAAGGGCTGGGAGTCTAATCTGGCCTTGTGCTCCTTCTGTGTTCTGTGACGAAAGTTCTTACAGATGCGACACTTTTTACATGTGATTCCCCCAAGCACTTCAGGCAGCTGCTGTGGGAGTCACTAACAGGCATAGGCCTGTTACAGTCAGTGCAGGGCTTAAAACCCTGCAACCAGGGGAAAGAACTGAGAGGGCATAGGGCTGCTGGCGCCTAATATACCAACACATGAGCAAGACACTCCAGAGGGTGCCACAGCTGACCCTACAGATACCGCTAAGGTGTGTGCACATCTAGAATGGAAGCCACATGAGCAAGAACTTGAAGAAGAATGTATATTATGAATAGACTATATGATGCTTGCAGTCCCTTCTAACCCTACGGTTCTATGATCACAAACAACTTTACATTATGTTTACTTAATGATAGATTCAACTGTTGATCAAATGTTTTTAAGGCTTAAAGATCCCCTTTCACAAGCCAGCTGTTTAAAGGGATGCTATTTGAATTGACTATCATCAGCTCAATTGAACTGCAAAACATATTTTGACTTACAGATGTGTTTGTAAAATGTGGCATTAGAAACAAATTTTAAATTACAGGAAGAATGTCTTTATAGCTCTTAAGAGTAATATTTACAATTCTGTAAGCTGCTCCATCTCAAAATACATGAAAAGTCGCAAAAGCAAGTACACAGTATAAATGATAGCTAATTTAATTACACTTTATGCTAAGCTTTTACCTATATAGAATATTTACTGTACAATACATTATTATACAATACTTTTGAAAGTCAATCATTGTTATATGAAAAAATTTTGTTCTGCAAAACATATAAAAATTCAAACATCAATAAAAGTTAGACAAATAAGGAGAGTTTTAAGCTGAGACTGAAAGAGTGGAAGGTACTTTGAGCAGGTTGAAGCAGGACAGATTTTAAGACATGATGGGATAGCATCCAGTGTAAATCAAAGTGTCTCATTGTATCTTACTAGCTAAGGGGAAATCTTGCTTGGTTAGGACCTTGATGAGAGACAGCTAAAAGGTACGTTTATACAGCCAAAAAAACCCATGGCAGCAAATATCAGACCTGGTCAACTGACTCAGGCTCCCAAGGTTTGCACTACAGGGCTAAAATAGCTGGAGCCTGGACTTTGAGACATTTCCCTCTTGCTGAGTTTCAGAACCCTGGCTCCAGCCTGAGCCCAAATGTCTACAGTGCTATTTTCAGCCCTACAGTGTGAGCTCAAAGACTCACCACCAAAGGTCTTTTGTTTTGTTTTTTTTGGTCTGTGTAGACATGCCCTAAATACTGGAGAAAGTCAAACTGGTAATTCGGTTCATGGCATGTATCTTTTTCTGAGTCATTGTTGAACTTAAAAACTCACCATGTTGTTGGGGAGGACTGTTCTGGGAAAAGATGCCAAAGATACATATTGATGCCCTAGGTATTTGGGGTGAAATTAAATATTCCATGACACTTTTACAAGGATATGGGTGGTGTTAGACATAGTATCCCACGTAAATTTAAAATTGAGCAATTACACTGAATCTGACTGAATACTCTTGTACAGTTGAGTAATGTATTCTTTCCTGGTCTTAAAACAGCTATGCCGTATTATTGGTGCAGTTACGGTTACAGCATTGCTCTCAAATAGTGACTGCATTTTGTTGGTGGATGAAGTGAAAGTTTTGCATATATGAGGTGCCTTTAGAATATGGTATCATGATAAAAATGTGTAAAATTATAGGTATTGCCATACTGGATCAGATCCAAGGGGCATCTAGTCCAGTATCTTGTCTCCAACGGTGGCTAGCACCAGGCACTTCATAGGAAAGTGCAAGAAACCTTTCAATAGGCAGATGTGGGATAATCTGTCCTTTAGTTAGTAGTCAGAGATTAGCATAAACCCTGAAACATGGGGGTTTATATCCCTTTCCAAAATTATAACATAACTATGTATATAAAATTGACATCACAGCAGCATAACATAACTGTAGCATGTTAGTATTTAACATTGACACAGTGTCATGGGGATGGATGGCACTGCTCATAGATAAACTAAATACCGCTGTGGGGTCCCTGCCCCAACAAGTTTACTATTGAAGAGTAATGTATTCTTGGTATTTCCTGTTATTGTGTTCCTCCAGTACAGTTTTCAAGTTTATGCTGCCACCCTGTGGCTGGACAAAGAAATTAACACTATTGTTAAAAGAAAAGGAGTACTTGTGGCACCTTAGAGACTAACCAATTTATTTGAGCATGAGCTTTCGTGAGCCACAGCTCACTTCATCAGATGTGTACCGTGGAAACTGCAGCAGACTTTATATACACACAGAGAATATGAAACAATACCTCCTCCCACCCCACTGTCTTGCTGGTAATAGCTTATCTAAAGTGATCAACAGGTGGGCCATTTCCAGCACAAATCCAGGTTTTCTCACCCTCCACCCCCCCACACAAATTCACTCTCCTGCTGGTGCTAGCCCATCCAAAGTGACAACTCTTTACATAATCAAGTCGGGCTATTTCCTGCATAGATCCAGGTTTTCTCACTTCCCCCCCACCCCCATACACACACAAACTCACTCTCCTGCTGGTAATAGCTCATCTAAACTGACCACTCTCCAAGTTTAAATCCAAGTTAAACCAGAATATCTGGGGGGGGGGGGGGGTAGGAAAAAACAAGAGGAAACAGGCTACCTTGCATAATGACTTAGCCACTCCCAGTCTCTATTTAAGCCTAAATTAATAGTATCCAATTTGCAAATGAATTCCAATTCAGCAGTTTCTCGCTGGAGTCTGGATTTGAAGTTTTTTTGTTTTAAGATAGCGACCTTCATGTCTGTGATTGCGTGACCAGAGAGATTGAAGTGTTCTCCGACTGGTTTATGAATGTTATAATTCTTGACATCTGATTTGTGTCCATTTATTCTTTTACGTAGAGACTGTCCAGTTTGACCAATGTACATGGCAGAGGGGCATTGCTGGCACATGATGGCATATATCACATTGGTGGATGTGCAGGTGAACGAGCCTCTGATAGTGTGGCTGATGTTATTAGGCCCTGTGATGGTGTCCCCTGAATAGATATGTGGGCACAATTGGCAACGGGCTTTGTTGCAAGGATAAGTTCCTGGGTTAGTGGTTCTGTTGTGTGGTATGGGGTTGTTGGTGAGTATTTGCTTCAGGTTGTGGGGCTGTCTGTAGGCAAGGACTGGCCTGTCTCCCAAGACTTGTGAGAGTGTTGGGTCATCCTTTAGGATAGGTTGTAGATCCTTAATAACAGAACGCCACTAGCGGTCACCTTCAGCCCCCAACTAAAACCCCTCCAACGCATTATTAAGGATCTACAACCTATCCTAAAGGATGACCCAACACTCTCACAAGTCTTGGGAGACAGGCCAGTCCTTGCCTACAGACAGCCCCGCAACCTGAAGCAAATACTCACCAACAACCACATACCACACAACAGAACCACTAACCCAGGAACTTATCCTTGCAACAAAGCCCGTTGCCAATTGTGCCCACATATCTATTCAGGGGACACCATCACAGGGCCTAATAACATCAGCCACGCTATCAGAGGCTCGTTCACCTGCACATCCACCAATGTGATATATGCCATCATGTGCCAGCAATGCCCCTCTGCCATGTACATTGGTCAAACTGGACAGTCTCTACGTAAAAGAATAAATGGACACAAATCAGATGTCAAGAATTATAACATTCATAAACCAGTCGGAGAACACTTCAATCTCTCTGGTCACGCAATCACAGACATGAAGGTCGCTATCTTAAAACAAAAAAACTTCAAATCCAGACTCCAGCGAGAAACTGCTGAATTGGAATTCATTTGCAAATTGGATACTATTAATTTAGGCTTAAATAGAGACTGGGAGTGGCTAAGTCATTATGCAAGGTAGCCTGTTTCCTCTTGTTTTTCCTACCCCCCCCCCCCCCCCGATGTTCTGGTTTAACTTGGATTTAAACTTGGAGAGTGGTCAGTTTAGATGAGCTATTACCAGCAGGAGAGTGAGTTTGTGTGTGTATGGGGGTGGGGGGGAAGTGAGAAAACCTGGATCTATGCAGGAAATAGCCCGACTTGATTATGTAAAGAGTTGTCACTTTGGATGGGCTAGCACCAGCAGGAGAGTGAATTTGTGTGGGGGGGTGGAGGGTGAGAAAACCTGGATTTGTGCTGGAAATGGCCCACCTGTTGATCACTTTAGATAAGCTATTACCAGCAAGACAGTGGGGTGGGAGGAGGTATTGTTTCATATTCTCTGTGTGTATATAAAGTCTGCTGCAGTTTCCACGGTACACATCTGATGAAGTGAGCTGTGGCTCACGAAAGCTCATGCTCAAATAAATTGGTTAGTCTCTAAGGTGCCACAAGTACTCCTTTTCTTTTTGCGAATACAGACTAACACGGCTGTTCCTCTGAAACCTGACACTATTGTTAGTGAACTACTGACGTTGATATTACAAAATTCCAAGCACAGCAGTAGGGACAATAGCTGCTTTACTTTCTTCACTCACCAACTTCAGACACCACAATATATACAGGTAGTTTATGATTCTGATGTTTCCAAAACATGATCTGCAAGCCAAGTAACTGCTGGAGAGTGCAGGGAGGGAATACAGATGTAGCCAAGTCTGAGGAGAGCATAAGAACTGTCATATTTAGGGCCCCACCAAATTCACAAACATGGAAAACACATAACGGACCGTGAAATCTGGTCTCTTGTGTGCTTTTACCCTACGCTATACAAATTTCAGAGGGGAGACCAGCATTTCTCAAACTGGGGGTCCTGACTCAAAAAGGAGTTGCCAGGCGTTGCAGGTTCTTTTAGGGGGGTTGCGGTATTGCCACCTTTACTTCTACACTGCCTTCGGAGCTGAGTGCCCAGAAAGCAGTGGCTGTTGGCCAGGCACCCAGCTCTGCAGGCAACAGCGCAGAAGTAAGGTGGCAATACCATACCATGCCATCCTTACTTCTGCATTGCTGCTGGCGGTGACTCTGCCTTCAGAGCTAGGCTTCTAGCCAGCAGCCACACTGCCCAGCTCTGAAGGCAGGGCTGCTGCCAGCAGCAGCGCAAAAGTAAGGGCAGCAGTACTGCAACCCCCACCTACAGTAACCTTGTGACCACCCCAAAACTCCTTTTTGGGCCTACAATTATAACTCCATGAAATTTCAGATTTAAATAGGTGAAATCATGAAATTTACCATTTTTAAATTCCTATGACAGTGAAATTGACCAAGCTGAAGAGTCCCCGTCTTTTTAATCCCTGTTCAATACCCCTAATCATTTTATTGCCTTTCTCTGCACCTTTTCCAATTCCAATATACCCTTCTAGAGATGGGGCAACCAGATATGCACGCAGTATTCAAGAGATGGGCGTATCATGGATTTATATAAAGGCATTATGATATTTTCTGTCTTGTTCTCTATCCCTTTCAGCAGCTGAATATAAACCAAAAAGATAGGATGCAGCATACCCAGAGACTTGAGAAGTAGGAAGGTAATTTTGAAACTAATTCAGAAAAGGTGATTGTAGGATGTGTGTGTCATTTGAATATGGTTTACATTAGGAACACATGTTTACAGCATCTTATTCCTTGGAGGAAAAACAACAAACGTTTATAGCTTATCTTATGGTATTTATATTATCATATCTAAGTGCATCACAGTTGTCAGTGTATAGAAATACATTCCATGTGTAGTATGGAATATTATTATCCCCATTTACAGATGGGGAACTGAGACACAAAGATTAAGACTCAGATTTTAAAGCTATTTA